AAGAAGTAGTCATGGACTTCGAAGAAATTAATGCAAAACTTTGCTATAATTAATTTAAATTATCTGACAGAGAAACATCTCTCAAGTGGGAAGAGAAATAACAAATAATGAGTGAAAAGGTAAATAATCTATTTCCTTTATTTTTATTCACTTCTTTGTTTTTTTTTATCTTTTTTAAAAGCAATTATTTTAGCTTTTTGTTTAGATAATTAGCCCCTTAAGTAAGAATAGAAATGACTCAAATAAGGGATTTGAAGTTCAAGCTCCAAAACTTTCATAAATATTACAATTATATTCTCTTTGACCAAAAAAAAAATATATATTCCACGTGTCAACAAATTAAGGTGCTGTACAAAGATCACATGCATGTGGGTTGAAGAAAATTTTTTTAATACTTCGCAAATAAAAAGAAGATATTCTTTTTAATACAAGGATCGCACTGGTAAAAATTTTGAATTTTAAAGATAAATAGCAAACCATATAGAAAGTTTAGGCTGTGATGTGTTTTATAATATTTAAACTTCAATGTTAGACTTTTTATATCAGGAGTCTTTACAAATCATGTGGAAAATACTTTTTACATCAAGTACCACACCCAATGTAGAAAGTGTAGTTTCTACATTAGGTGCTATATTTGATATAAAAGTGATTTAAATTTTTTAAAAAATAAAAAATAACTAATTTTTACACCAATTGAGAGCCTCACACCCAATGTAGAGAGAATTTTTTTTTTTACAAAAAAAAAATACTCACTTTCTAAATCGGAAAGCAGAGGCACTCAATGCAGAAAGTGATTTAAAATTAATAGGGACAAGTCTTCTCCTCTTCGTCATGTCTTCTTCCTAATAGAGTTTCTCTCGCCTCTTGTCTCTTTGCACATTGCCATTGTCTCTCCCCTCCTCCTCCTCTTCCATTGAGCATCGTCAAGCTCCTCCCTCCTCCTCATCTCTTTGCTGTCCTCTCCCCCCCCCTCCATCCCCCCCCCCCTAAAGAGAAAAAAACCCAAAACCCATTTTTCCTCCCTCATCCTGCTCCTCTGTGGTTCTTGAAGAATTTTCCAAGTATACTCTCTTCACTTTCTTTTTTTTATTTTTTTAATGTGTGTGTAATGATAGTTGAATGTAATTAAGTTTAATTTAATTTTAGTTTAATTTGATGGTATTTTTTTATTAATTATTTTAATCAGTTAGTGGCTATTATATGATGATAGTTAAATATTATATGCTTGAGAGTGCTGTTAGTGGCTGTCTAATGCTTTAGATTGTTGCGCTTGATTAAATTGTTGTTGTTGTTGACATTGTTCATGTGATAAGTTCAAATTTCTTTGTCCGCTCACATGATAGAGAAAAGGAATACTTTGGAGTTAAGGCCCAATACCTCCTGGAGAGAGTATGTAAAGTCATAGAACGTTTTCATGGCTTTATATGTACACTCATAAGGATCAATTTGTAATTAATTGTTTTTACTAATGTGAATTTACTCTAACTCATATTTTATTTTGCAAGAACCATTAGTAGCTGTTTGTTCTTTCAATGAAAAGAAACACTATCTGTGAATATCGTATTTTGTCTGGGCGCTCATAAAATTAAATAAATGAAATAAATAAAAGAAGAAGAAGAAGAAATAAAAGTGGTTTTTGTGATTTAAATAATAATAATAATAATGTTACCCTTTTATTTTGTTAACCCCACATCCCCTCAATCATATTTCTCACAAAAATTAATTTAATTAAGAGAAAATTAGAAAAATTGAAAATTCAAATTAATCGATTTTTGATTTCGAGATGATTATGGCTTGATTGGAATTTGGTTTAATTGAGAAAAGAATTTGAAAATCTAATTTGAAAAGTCAAATAGCAATTAATAGGATTTTGATTTGAGAGTATCAAGTCTTGATGGGATCATTGATGAAAGAAAATCCTAATTGAGCTTATAAAAAAGAAGAGAAGAGAGCATGGAGGGGGTGGATGAAAAGAGTGTAGGAGAAAGAGTGAGGGTCAAGCGCGATGCTGCAAAAGGTACAGTGATTACTTTCATGCGTTTTATTTTTTCATTCGTGGGATCATGGTAGAACAATAAAGAATGATAGTATATTACTCTTGTGTACCTCTTACACTGTGCAAACTTGTACAACTTGTATGTTGCTCAATATCATCATAAGGGATACGACCGAATTTACACTTGAGATAAATATATTTTTAAAAATTTTATTTTATTATATTATTTAAGATTAATTAGTTAATAAGCTTTTGCCAATTATATTTTAGATACTTGACAATGCAGATTTATTCTCCAAAGAAGAAATTGAAGATATCCGTGTATATTGGGCAACTCATTTTATAAAAATTTGTGAGTTTTGTTGATAATTTTAGACAATTTAACAAGTTTATTAGTTTTAGATACTTTTGTTAATAGTTGATTGTGAGAATTTTAATTGTTGCAATTTTTTTATATGAATTATGTTAGATAGAGTTTAATTTTGGATAGGTAAACAAGATTGTGATTTGTGTTGGAAATTATAAATGAATTATGCTGTCTGGTAGTGGCAATTTTCATGTACAAGGATGGGTAATTGAAAAAACAAATACAATATTAAAAAAAAACTTTCTCATCAATTATGACTTTAATCGATGTAAAAAGTGTATACTGATGTACATCAGTTAAGCTCAAGAACCAATTTAAAAAGTGTCGAATTATTTTTTTTTCAAAAAAATTGATGTAGAAAGTCTATTTTATAATATTATAATATAACAATAAAACCTATTTTCTACGTCGATTTTTGGATATAGCATTGTAGAAAATAGACTTTCTTGTAGAATTGGTGTGGGAAATCCCACCTCCAAGAACAACGCCTTTTAAACTGATGTAAATATAGTGAGACCAGGAAAAATGTGAGACTAACTACCTATTTACCACTTGTGATGGAAATTTTGGAGAGAACGTACACCTCTATACTCTACAGGAGGAACATTATATATAGACAATTTCGACTTGTAGTTGATGTCCCCACACGAGCTAGCAAGTTTGTAACACGACTTACTTCTTTTGACTCTTGATATGTGATAAAAAATAAAAATGCAATCTCATATGAGGAGATGTGAATTTCTCTAATCTTGCCATTTAGCGAGAGATTTTGGGAGAGCTCTCACTGTTTATGAGGTGTAGAGCTTACATGGAGTCACCGAAAACGTCAATTCCAGCTGAAACACTTGTTCCTTGATGTAGAAAATAACGAAGCCCCAATGTTGAACGTTGTGATCTTTCGAGAAAACCTTGCTGCATATCTGTTTTCTGATTGCCCCAACAAATGAGTGAAGAGTTTTGCTAAGGGTATAGTATTCTAATTTTCTGCTTCATTTTTGAGTTCCACAGAATCCACTGCACGCGCGAAGAGAAAAAAAGGTTTGGTAACATGTGGATTGAGGGTCGGTCCCGAAGCAGGCATGTGGATCCACGAGTCAAAGGAATCAGGATACAGTATGTGAGTTCGAAGAATTTGAATGCAAACAACCACAACATTAATCTTGTGCCATGGGTTTTCACCTTTTAGCATTCATAGTGCGCCTGACATTTTAAGCCCCATATACGACAATTAACGAAGACTACCTTTTTTTTGTTTTTTGACCAGAACGAAGACTACTTTTCAAGTCTTCCTTATTATCCATTCGTGAACGCGATCGCTTTCACTGAAGGACCCGCATTCGGTGCTTCCTGCTCCTCACCTAAAAGGTGATCTCAACCCTTCATTTTCCCTCACAAATCATCTAGATACTTTTATTATTAATTTTTTATAATATTAATTTTAAAATTATTAAAAAAATAATATTAAGTTCAGACTGTCCAGCATATCTAGATGGTAAAATTGTTAAAATTATAAAAAAAAAATTTATTATTAAATTAGACCTTTCAGATTATATCCACGCTATACAAAGTATATCAGGATAGTTAATTTATAAAAATTATTAAAAATACTATTGAATTGGGTCATCTAAATTGAATCCGTATTGATTAGATTAGTGATAATCAGTTTTATTAAACCTTTTTATGTTTTTGACATATTTTTAATTAAATAAGTATAAAATAAAAATATAAAGTTTAAATCTAAAGTATGCAGCTCATCAGGAGTGATGACTACCATGACACTTATGCTTTCATAAGCATGAAAAAACATCCCAGATTTCATATTAAAATTTTTACATATTTTTATTTTGATAAATATAATAGTAAAAATAGTTTAAAAAATTTAAAATCAATGGCAAAAATTATTTTTGAGAAGAAAATGAAGGGTTTAGATTACCTTATAGGTGATAGCACGATCCATTGAATGGTAAGAGGCTAAGAGCCCCTTTGGGCTCTGGCTTTGCCTCTCTTCAATTTTATATTCGTTAATAAGTGAATGGTCTGGCAATTATTGATGCAGAAACATCATTGATTGCTTGGTAGAAGATATGCATGATAAATATTAAAATAAGACTTGAGCCAAGTACTATTTTAAAACAAATGTATTTGTTAAAAAAAAATGGAGGGGAAAAAGTGGTGGATACTTTTAAAAGCCTTTTAAAAGCCGACCATGTAAAGTGAAGTTTGGAATAATTGCCCATTGGGCGTAGACAAAGTCATGACATGACATGGTTGGACATTGTATTGTAGAAGTTGAAACCACCTCTTTTTCTTTTCTTTGTAGCTTTCATGTTTTCATGTCATTTTCCATACCACATACTATTCCTGTCGCTTTTCGCAAGTTTTATAGTTGTTATATAGATTTATGTTGTAACAGTAATGTACTAATTCCCATTTGGTTGGCTATTAATTATTCTCCTCAAACTATATCTTCCAAATTTTGGGATATATAAAGATAATAGAATAGGTCGCGAAATATTATATAATATAATAACTTAACAACGAAAGATATCCTCACAGCTCAATCTCTTAACATCTTACTGATGATAAATCAGTTGACAGACTTGTCAACGTGACACTTGTGAAATAACAAGGTGACTCTTACATAAGAGCTAGATAATTGTTTAAAATTGGAAAGGCAATTCTGTCCTTAAGCTTGCACTTGACCTGTAAAGTATTCCATAATCCTCCTTTAAAGAGAAATACACAAATGGCGTGTTTTAATTTTTGATACTACACGTCTACACCCATTTGACGCAATAATGCTAATTTGAGTATTTAACTGAACAAAGGTACTAACGAGGATGCAAGTCAGTAATTGCATCTTCATTCACAGACCGTTGCATATATTTACTTGCAGAACGATCCGAAGTATTCTCAAAAATTGCAAGATTGTTTAAATCTGTTCTATGGCGATCTACAAAAGATGCAGCTGGCTCTTGAGGATCTGACAAGGTGACGGAATGACTACTTAGCATCACCAAAATAGATTGGATTGCAGGTCTTAGAGCTGGATTTTCCTGAATACACAACAAGCTTATATGAATGCATCTCATGACTTCATTCCTTGAACAAGAACTTGTTAGACTAAGATCCAGCAATTCTAATGGCGCCCCTTCCCTCCAGAGTTTCCAGGCCTGCAGATCCATTCGTATATAATTAATTTTTTTTTCAAAGATTTTGATCTTTGTAACTACCATTTTAGTTTATTTACTTTGATAATCTACTTACATAGCTTAGCAAGTCTTCAGCATGGCTTGATATATAGAAAGATGCATTCTTGTTGCCACTAATGATCTCTAGAATTAGGACACCAAAACTATATATATCAGATTTTACTGAAATATGACCATGCATTGCATATTCTGGAGCCATGTAGCCACTACAAAATAACACACAATACATATTATGTGGCAAATAATCTCTTCTCTAGTTCATTATAAATTATGAACAAAACAGCTAGTATATGAAAATATTGACTTGAGTAACTTACTAGGTCCCGACAACTCTACTTGTGCTAGCTTGAGTTTGATCAACTCCAAAAATTCTAGCTATACCAAAGTCAGATATTTTTGGATTCAAATCTTCATCCAACAACACATTGCTAGCTTTAAGATCACGATGTATAATTTTGAGCTGAGAATCTTCATGAAAATAAAGTATTCCCCTTGCAATGCCTTCAATAATTTGCAACGCTGTGACCAATTCAATTTATCTTTGTTTTCGGTTCCTGTAGGGTTAATAAGAAGCAAAATTTAAACAATATATAAAAGGTTAATTCACATCCCTACTTAAGTTCAAACCAATTATTAATAAAGATTATATGATGGGCGGGTGATCGTATGTGTACCTAAATGCAAAAAAAAAAAAAAAATCCACAGAACTTACGAAACAGAAAATTGTCCAAGCTTTTGTTGCGCAAAAATTCATATACGAGTATCTTTTTCTTCTTCATCCAAGCAAATCCCTTGTAACCTTACAAGATTTCTGTGTCGAAGTTTTGCCATTGTAGCTACTCTACTTCATTCTTAAATTCTGGTACACCTTGTCTGGAACTACTTGACAGTCTCTTCACAGCTAACTTTGTCCGCCAGGTAAAATACCCTGCTTATAAAATAACAACGACTAAACTCCATTAGCAAAAACCTAATTAATCATTGTATGATTTGGAGAGTGATTGGGACATCCATCAGGAAAATAGATTTGCATACCTGTATACCTCACCATATCCTCCTTGACCTACTTTATTGTCAGGAGAGAAGTCGTTTGTGGCTGATTTGATGGTAAAGCCAAATCAAAACGTAGTGGCTCTGCACTTGAAATCTCATCAACTGCATAACCGAACACAAAAATTGATCAGTTGCCCAAGACTTTCTTGCACTACTCTAGCTATTTAAAGTACAAACGTTGAGAACTGTTAGTTCATGCGAAAATTTCTGATATCATGCATTCAGCAAAGGTCCTTCTTACTTCCATGTAAAATGAAAATTGCACGTGTATCTAAACATGAAAGCTGATCCCATACCAGTTTGTTTAGGAAATGAAGTATTCTTCCTTGCTCTCCATTTTAGGCACAAAAAGCAGGGATACTTGCATATGATAGTCCGCTGCTGGAACTGCTATGGCAATAATTGTCCTAGCCGAAATCTTGGTTTTATCTGAACAAATAAAAATCCAAGTCACCCACACACTTGTTGCTGGATGTATTGTAAAATAAAGATATGCTCATGATTGCTTATCATTCGAAGTGGACTCTGGGGGACTCTGGGGGATGATGAAGAGAAGGCAGCGGCGAAAGCACGTTTATAAAAGGGGTACAATTCCATACCTTACGTTTGCAACTGAGGGCGCGTGCTATTGCCCCTACCCTCCCAAAACAGCAATTGGGGTACTCTCCGATTGTTCTGCTCAGACATTTATGACATTCATCTCCAGATATATCCGTGTGCACTGCGCCAGAGTATATAGAGTCTGAAAATCACTGTAGTTTTCTTCTTTCGTCGCAAATTTCTTGTTTCCGCCACCGTACGCCGCGTTCTTTCGCCACCGCATTCATGGTGCCAACCACCAGTCCGCATAAAGCTGGTCGCGTCAGTTGCGTTGGATTTGTTATGCAGGATGCGCGTGGGGTCATCTTGCTCTGTGAGAAGAAATATGCGTTGGAGTATCGTAACGTGCACTTGTCGTACCAGGCCACTGCTTGTGTAGTATTGGGGCATCGCATGATTTCTTTGCTTGCCATGGAACACAATGCTTGACAGGCCGGAACGGTAACGTCTCCACGGCAGAGGAAGAGGCCGTAGACGGTGCCGCTGTTTTGTCCGACGGAGGTGTTGTAAAAGCCATCCCTGCGATTGGCGTTTGAGGAAAGGCTTGAGAGTAAGCGGACAAGATTCGCCTCGTATGTGCTGTTTGGGGCATAAGTTGGGGCCTGAACAATAGACGTCTGGCACCTGGCCTTTGGTTCTCTGCAATCAAGAAGACTACAAGAACAAGGAGTGGAAGGCCTTAATAGAATTCATGAAGCGAATCATTAATTTTCTGATGATCAATGTGCCGGTTCACACTACTTGGGCGTGATACTCGACTCATTTAAGAGACGCCTCTGGGATTTTTAATGTGGAAGCCTTGAAGATATGGAAACCCTTGACCAAGAGACGTGTGCTGGGACTTTATCGTGACTGCTTCCCTGCAGCTTTCAATTTCTTCCTTTGTTTTTTTTTTAGAGAACATTAACTTTCATTAATCATTAATTAAAAAAAATAGTGAAAGATAGGAACTAAATTAATTAATCTTTTTTTTTTTTACCAACAATCTCCTAATTTGTTAAAATACGAGAAGACTTTGGGTCGTCTCGGTTTTAGAGTTAATAATTTTAGCCGGGGAGCTCAATTGAAGTGGGCCTTGAAATAGTTGGATATATATATATATATATATATATATATAAACTAATATAGTCAAATCCTATTACCCTAGCCCCTGGGTTTTTGGATGTATTCGAAATGGTCCAAATACTGAAATTGTTAAAATTTTCCCACTTTTTTAAGCAGTTTTAATTTTGAGTGAAAGTGTAAATTAATTTTTAAATTATAGGTTTAGAAGTATGTATGATCCTAAACTTATTTTTAATATAATATTCTCATTTACTTTTGAAAATGATGTAATTTAGCTTTTACTGATAACAAAAATTTATTTTAATCATTAGTTGATCAGAAATGATAGAAAATGACTCCAAAATTATGAAAAATGATCAATCAAATTTTATTTCTCAATCAAATGAGGGTTAATGTGTTTGGATCCTTGTCACAAATTTTTGGGTCCTTTGTTATCCTTTTTTTATTTCTTTTTTGTAATTTTTGGGTCCTTCTATGTTTTTTTTTTGTCAATTAACTATCAAAATTAATTCTTTTTTTATGGTAAGGGCTAAATTGCATTTTTTTAAAAGTTGAAAGAAATATTGTATTAAAAATAAGTGTAGAGACTCAAATGCTTTTGACCCTATATTTTAGGAGCTAATTTGTCATTTGACCCTTTAATTTTAAGCAAACATAACACTATAACACACACCTTTTTCTACCCATGTTAATGTAAAACAAAGTATTAAAGAGTAAAAGTGACAGTATATGAAATAATCTAGGGAAAATGATACTAAAATGTTATTAAAATATATAAATGACAATTAAATTCCTTAAAATTTCATAATTCCTTTAAAGTCCTGGGATACCTTTCAAATATTAATAATTTATGTTAAATGATTAAATTTCTCCTTACTTAAAATAAAAATAATGAGTCTAGCTTCATTTTCCCAATTACAATTTTTGTTTAAAAATCACAACTTTTGTTCTATAAATTAAAAAAATTAAAATAAGAAATCATAACTTCTCACATGAAATTTCCCTTTATAATGATAAACAAGTTCTAAAAATAATCAATCTAAATCAAACTTTTATTTAATCAATCACAACTTTGATTCTGTGAATAGTAAAATTGAATAAAAAAACCACAACTTCTCATATAAAATTTTCTTTATCATTGAAGTCTAGGTTCTAAAAATAACTATCACAATTTTTATTTAAGCAATCATAACTTTTTTTTATTAATCTCAAAATTAAATAAAAAATCACTCAAAAATCATTAATGTCACAAAGGCACCTAAGGACATAAGAGAAATTATGATATTTCAAGAGACATAATTATCATTATATATTTTGATAAAATTTTATTATCATTTTCTAATAATTTGTTGTGTTTATTTAAAAATGTGAAATGTGTGAACTGAGAGTTTGGGAAGGTGTCGTGACTTGTGAGTTCAAAGCAAAGGCTAAAATAATAATGTTAATTTTATTTTTTTAATTAAAAAAGAATTTAAATATTTGGACCAAATTTATTCAAGTTCAAACTTTGCCTGAATAAGTCTAAAATAAAATCTCTGATAAAAAAAGTCTAAAATAAAAAATAAAAAATTCAAATTGACTCACATTTGTTTGAACTTATTGCTTAATGAGGTCAGCTTGAATTTTCGCTATACTCTCGTCCAAGCTAACTAAACTTTTCATTATCCAGTGATCGCTAGACGACATATTTGGTGCATGGGGTCTGTCCCTGTGTTTCATTTGAAATATTTGAATGAAATATTTAGTTTATGCTCAGTAATTAATTTATTGTTGTAACCTATAGGATGATTTGATAAAATAAATTTTATTAATGATTTTTTAATATTTTCCTTGAAGTAGAGAGAGCTGAAATGATTGTTCTGTAATTATTGAGTTCTAGATTTTGATGTTATATTACATAAATGATATTTTTAAAAATTTATATTTTTGTTTTAAAAAATAAATTCACAAAGTGTCATTATTAAATTTTATTAATATATGTAATTCTATTTCAAATTTTTTGGCTTGCCTCGGGATAATTTTGGAAGAAGAGAAAATAATGCAAGCTGTAATTGATGAGTTCATTAAAAGCCCGGGTCCATCAATTGTTTTACCATAGATCGAGTCAAAGTCAATGGAACAGGTTGGCAAGTCGGGGGTGAAAATGACACGATGGATCTTCTGTCTCTATACACCCAAGCTATGTGAGTTCATGGAAGTCATGCGAGCTGTTAAACCATTAATGGAAGGTTTTATACATTAATGATAATTGTTGGGCATTTATGTCTGAAAATTTAAGATTTATGATGAGTTTTGGAGGTTGTTGGACAACATTAATAACTCTAAAAGAGTTAATGAAGTTAGTTTGAATTGATAGTTGAGAATTAAAAAGATTGAATGCTAAAAGAGAATTTTGGGATATTTATAGAACTGAAATTTGAAGCTTGAATTAATGTAAATGATGTATTAATGAGTTTAGACACAATTAATTATAGATTAATAGCCTGCGCACCTATTTGGCTTGGTAGTAAGTAATTGGAAGTATTAACTTGAGGAATAAACCTTCGACCTTTTAAAAATTTAGGTAATAAAAAAATATATTATGTGTATTGTTTTTTAATTAATTTATAATTTTTAAAAATAAATTACTTAACATAGATGAATACTTGACATAATTGTGTATATGTGTAAAACAAGTGATGTTTGAATTTAATATATATGAAATATCACCATCATGTTTTAAAAGAAATTGATAAGTTGATAAGACACGAGTTGTTATACCCAGTTTTGTACAATATATGAAAAGAAGTGAAGAATATGTTATTGGATATGAGATTGAGAATAAAAGTGATGTGCGTATTTGACAAAAAAAAAGGGTGATGTGTGTAAAGTGATAATATTTATAAGGCTCACGCATGAAAAATTTATGTGTGAATCAAATGAGTTTGTATTGTATATGAGAATATGTTAAAAAAATGTGAGCATGAACTCATTGCATGAACTTTTGGGTAGAATGTCTAAGAGATGAGTAGTTAAATTCATATGGTATTATTTGGCTACCTTTCGATAAACGAAGGCTAGCTCTATCCTACTAGTTGTTGAAGGATTGTTCCCATAATTAGTCAAGGGATTCAAATTTAGCTATCTCCCCTGTTGTCGAGAAGACTGGCTCAGAGTTTACGAAACCCTAGGGATCTGAGAATGGGAAAAGTTATGGTCTGAGAGTGAGTGTAGTAATCTTTGGGCTCGGGCACTCCTCACAATTGATAAACTTAGGTAGTACATTCACACAGATGAAGCTTAATTGATTTATAGCTCATAGTTTTAGTTGATGAAAATAAAGAGAAATCGATC